CATCTTCAAAGCCAGGAACAATGGGTTGAGTTCTCACATTGCACCACTCTGATCTCCTTTTCTTCCTTTCTTTTCTACATTTAAGGACTCTTGTGATTACACCGACTCACCTGGATGATCCAGCACGATCTCTGTATTTTTAGCAATCTTAATTCCATCTGCTACCTTAGTTCCCTTTTGCCACATAACATAACATATTTACAGGACCTGGGGACTAGCATGTGGACATCTCTGAGAGTCATTATTCTTTCTACCACAAAGCCCTTTAAGAATCAACAGTTGAGGGGCCAGCCCCGTGGTGCAATGGTTGGGTTTGGCACGCTCTGCTTCAGCACCCCAAGTTCGTGGGTTTGGGTGCCAAGTGCAGGCCTACACCACTTGTCAGCTATACTATGGTGGTGACCCACATACAAAGTGGAGGAAGATTGACACAGATGTTAGCTCAGGGCTAATCTTCCTCAGAAGAAAGGGAATCAACAGCTGAGCTAAAGGGATCTCAGCAACCCCAAAATGAGGATCCACCTTGATCTATTATCGTGAAGAGAATGCAAGTATCTTGGAAGGTAGCTTTACGAAAAGAGAGTGGGAACGTTGCAGGAGGACATTTTCCCTGAGCCCTACCAATATAGGTTCATGTCAAGCTGCCCACCAGTACTTTATTTTCCCCACAGGATCAGGTGTGTCCCCAAGTGGAGTGCCTGTGAAAACAGAAAGGGCTGGAACTCAGGGTACTAGAGAGTGGGTCACAAGTGACAGTGTCTTCCTGTCAATTACGACCGAGAGCTGAGCCGCTATGTAAGGTACAGGCAAGATGGGCTGGGCCATTTTGGCTAACGGACCAAAACCCACTCAAACTGTGTGTGTGGTTGTTTCTAAGGGAGAGCAGGTGATGGTAACGAGGAGGATGGCACATGGGGTGGGCACAGAAACAGGAGCTCAGAAATGTCAGAGCTGACTGAGACAACTTCCATCTCTTCATTTGTTGTCCTAGGTTGGTACCTCCAGAAACAGACCCTGAAACACGTGTGAAGAGTTTTTGCGGGAGGTGATAGCAGTTAGCACTGCTAGGGGATGGGGCAGTGTGATAAAGAGAAGGCTGCCGACATGGTGTGCATCAGCCAGCCAGTTACCCTGTGGGGAAGTGGACCTTAACCCAGTGGAGACGTCTGGAAGGTGGGGTGGAACATGCCTCAGAGTTAGCCCATCTGAAGGTAGGGAAGCTGGGGCGTTTACCCACCAGCTTCCACTTATCATTGATGGAAATCTCCTCCCACGGGCACTAACTTCTTATCACTTTCGGCCTTCCCTGCACACAAGCTGAACATGCCTCCTCGGCCAGAAGCAGCAGGAGCTTACAGCATGGAGCACTGCGCACGAAAGAGAAGTGTTGAGGGGATAGAGCAGGGCAGCAGCAGCATCCGCTCCAAGGATAGAAAAGAGGAAGGCACAGTGGGAAATGCCCAGGCGAAGGAGGGTTATAAATGAGAAGACTCCACAGTTTCTGGATGAAAGCCTTGGATTTGTCTCCAGGGACCTTTTTAAGGTGCTAGCCTCGTATAGTGAGCAGCATGCAGACATGAATATCTAGATGCTCTTTATATTTGTCTCCCATGTATAGATACTGTATAGAGATAGAGACTGAACAAAGCACACTATCACTTCCCTCCTGGGATAGCATGTATGGAACCATCCCCTGCAGATGGTGTGAGAGTTTTTATTTTGATGACTCCTCATTAATGAATACTGGGAGGAGAAATAGAGAAGGACATTTCAGAGATGAGACGTAAGCTGCCTTCAGACTGAGCAATGCAGGACAGAGGAGAATATTATTAACCTGCAGAGAAGGCTAAGAGGAGCTTATTGTCTGAAATGAAGGATTGTAAGAGCACCGTGAAGAGGTGCTGACTAAGAGCATAATATCTGAATCCTACAGCCCTGAATCATATCTGACCTTCCATTCTCGGGGGCCAGAAGGAATCTGGCCAGTGTAGACTTCTTTCTCTGACATGTGCTAAAGTAGGTGAGTACCTTTCAGCTTGAATTCAGGAGACCTTGGACTGTTGCTAAGGAGTCAGGAGTTAGTAGAGGGTAAAGAACTAGATGACTGCCCTTGGCTGATGAGAACAAAGACACAAATTGCTTTCATTTCCCTGTTGAGTTTCGTCAATTTACAAAGAGGGCTTGAGGCAAGGGAAAAGGTTAATGAGGATGTGAAATATATAGCAGCGTTTGTTTACTTAGCTGAGATAATTATTCTCAGCAATGCCAGAAGAATAAAAGCAAGGTCCTTTGGATGTCTGGTCCCCCAGGGAGAATAGCTTAAAGTTGTCCTTGGATATATGTCAGTTCTCCTGAACCCCTGTTAATATAGTGGACACACAGTGTCCCAGCCTGGAGAGAGGGTTGACCCTGAAATTATATCCACTCTCAACAATGGCCTCAAGCCATCAATGGTAAGAAACTCAAAAATACCTTAGGGGTTTCTATAGATTTTCAGAAAAGTATTCTTAGACTTCTAACCTCACAATACCTTAAAGCAGGGTTTCATCTGGAAGCCTGAGTACTTCCAACAAAGAAGAGAAAGAGCACAGGACAAGTGATACTCATTATCATTCACTGGCCTCAATCCATCAATTATAAGGACATTTAAAGTGTCAGAGAATTTTATAGGAGTTACAGAGAAATATTTCCAGATTGGTAAACCACACAACTATTTAAAGCAGGTTTTCTAAGAAAAGCTTCAACAAGGTGGAGAAAGCCCACAGCTAGTTCTCAGGGCCTCAAGGAGTCCGGAGCGAGACCTGTGAGCAGATGCTCAGAGCCTTGGCAGACTGTCCACTGGAGACCTGTCTGAACACTTGGTTGCCCTGCCAAGACCTTCGTTACCTGCGTGGGAACTAGGTCTGTGGGTCCAGAAAAAGACAATGGGACCAAAGCAAAGATCAGCTAGGACTGATCTGAGCATGAGGGTTGGTGCCATATTCAAAACTTGGAAGTTTTGGGCATTGTTGACCCATTCTGAAAGCATGTGTTTGAGGTGCCTCTTGGGTTACAGACTGGCCACAATCCGTGTTCCCTGGTGCTGAGCATGCTGCAATGGATCACTGGAGATTGGCTGTGTTGTTTGATCTGCCTTCAGTGGTCAGTGGAAATCAGGTCTCAACAACAATGTGGGTCACCCCACCTTTGGACAGACCCATACGCAGGTTGCTAAGACTACGTCCAAAGAGGGGGTGTAGGCAATTTGGGACTCAAGTGGACATGCTTCTGAGGAAGGTATGACCAAGGAAAATGGAGAGTGCAACCCTTTCTTCTCCCTAAGGTAGCTCCCCAAGGAGCTCTCAGTACTGGGAGAATCTTCTACCTTCCTCCAAGCTTGGGCTGACCCTGAGTTAGGGGAGGTGAAAAAAAAGGAGCCAGGCATTCTTGGCTGAAATGTCCAGGATTATCTCTAAGCGCCTTAAAATTTCACTGCTCTGTTAGAGCCAACTAGAAACCCATTAAATGTGTATCACACCATGTGTCACCAGGCCCAGCACAAGAGAAGCAGAATCAATTGTGTTACTCCCAGAGGATCATTCTCCAAGGACATCTCTTATTTACTAGTGGTGGGGACTTAAAAATCAATTGAAGTTTCTGCCAGTGGTGGACTCAAACCGTCCGCAATAAAATGTGCAAAAATGCTGGAAAAATATTTTAAAACTTAACGTTTAAATGCATGGCAGCTCCTGAAAGAAAGTAAGAGAAATAGTCTGGTATCAGAAATGAAATGAGATCAGGAGTTCCAAGAAATAAACAGGTACTAAAGCCATCAGCTACTTGGAAGTCTACCTTTCACAGGAGGCCTAGCCCTTCTATTTTAACAACTGCAAGTATTGGGAACCGTTCCTTGAAAATAGAGAATAAAGTGGAAAGAGTCGCCTTTCCAGATCCCAAAATACTATAAAGGCATAGTTGTTAGAGTGCAGTTTTCGTGTTGAGAGAAACAATCAGTGAAACAGAACGGAGAGCTGAGACAGACCCAGGCATATATGCAACCAACAATCTGGGTTTGCGCTTCCCCATGTGGAGAGCAAGCATGTGTGTCTGCCTCCCACCATGCACTCGGGCAATAAAGACTCAGATGCACAGCGAAATGTTACGCTTCTAGAAATACACGTAACAGTGTATCCTTGGGACTTCAGGGTCACGGAGGATTTCCTCAATAAAATACAAAAACACAAACCACAGGAAAACAGTGAAGTATCCAACATCATTAAATCCGAGAGCTTCTCTTCACCAAAAGCCCTCACAAAGAAAATGAGAAAAGTGCCACACAGAGAAAAGGCAACAGATTGGGGCGGTGGCGGGGGGCAGCGGGGGTGGGGGCGGATTCTCAGATCAATAATAAAATGAGAAAGCAGCCCCAAGGGAGAAATGGCAAAGATATGGATTGGCATTTCACAGACGAGGAAACACAAATGGTGGAGAAACAATAAATATGTTCAATTTCATTAGTTACCAGAGAAACACAAGCATAAATTTTATTGCACACATGCTTGTTGGCAAAGTTAAGATATTTGATCACACCCAATGTTTGGCAGGGCCATGGAGCAGTGTGGAACAGATGCAAAGTGATGGCTAAAGTAGAAGTTACAATAATTTGACATTATCTGGCAATGTAAGACTGCACATACCCTGCCATTGGGCCATTTCAGCCCTGGTCACTACGCTGGTGAAGCTCCTGTCCACGTGCATCAGGACGTTCATTCCAGAACATTTACAGCAGCATTCTTCTAAGAGCAACAGCCCTGGAAACAGCCTGAAGGTCCGTGACGGGCGAGGGATCGCTAGCTGCAGGGCAGCGCGTGGGAGGCCGGGGTTGGGTCCAGGCAGAACCTCTGGGGGCTAACGATCTGTTTCTTACACTGGGTGGTGGGCATGTGGTTTTTATTTTATTTCTTTGCTTTACAACACATATGTACACATTGTAGTTGTATGCATCAAACTTTTCACAGTTGAAAAAAATCTTTTAGAAAGATCTAATCCAGGCTCCTCCCTGGGGGTGGGGGTGGACCCTGAGCCAGCGCGCTGAGCTCCAGGGTGAGAATTGTCTTTTATTGACAGTGGAAGCCTGGCCCTGTAGGTAGTTCCATGACCTCTTCCCACGGGAGTTTCTCTCTCTGGAACCTGACTGTTGAACCCAGGTAAATTCTTGTGTTGATTGCTCACTTCACACGTTGTCTATAAGCCCACTTCAGCAGGGTCAGAAGGCACATATCCAGGCCTGGGTAGCTCTTGGCTCAGTGACTCCGATCAGGTCATCTGTGGGATGTCAAGGATCGTGGGAAAGACTTTAACTGAGTGGAATCCAGAAACCCAGGCTTGTTCCCTGTCACACCCATAAAGACCCATCGCTAGGGTGTTTTCTCTGAAAGTTTCTCTGCTCAGAAGGCTGGGACGCCTTCCCCGGGCAGATGGAGCAGTGGGGTCATCCTCCAATCCCTCCAGGGCTGATGGTCCTGCAGCCCCTGTGACTCCAGTGCAGGCCTGCACCCAGGGAGGGAGGCAGCAGCCCCCAGCACCAGCCTCCCCTGTCTGGCCCTTGGGGAGCTGTAGGATGATACTCACTCATGCTCGCTGCTTTCTTTGTCTCAGCTCGTCCTCAGGAGACAGGTTTGGGACAGAGGACCTTGTTGTCTTCATGGTGGAGGCTCTCTGAGATTGCAAAAAGAGTTTCTTTTGTGGAGACAAAAAGAACTACCACGGAGAAAAGAATGTGATGGGGTGACATTGGTGTACTCTCTCCTGAGCCCTCAATTTATTTATTTTACTTCCACCCCAAGTGTCTCCGAACTACCTGCCCACCCTCGATACACACACACGCATGCACACACACACATACACGCACACAGCCTACAGAGCTAGATAGAAATCACTCAAGATTTGAGTGACCACTTGACTCTTAGGTTAAAATTCTCACCCTGGGCCGAAGAAGAGGGGACAGAGCAAATCCTTTAAGCCTGAGTGACAGAGAACATCGTTCCAATGGCTTCATGCACACACCGTCTGAATCACTGAAGGTTGGTGAGGCCCTTCGAGTCCCGGCTCTCTTACTCCTCCTGCCCTGTTCGTTGCCCTGCTCTTCCCATCCGTGTTCCTATGATGCTGAATGATTTTCCTTTCCTTCATGTTTTCTCTTGCCTCAGAGACTGTCACAAAGCAGATCCCCCGAAGAGAGGCCTAGAACATTCCGCCCCCATCTCTAGCCCTTGACGCCCTCCTGCTCTTCATCCCTGCACCCAGCACCGTGTAGCTCTGGTGTCCCTGTAACTGTTACTTTGTCCTCAGCCCACTTTTCCCTGAGAATTAAAAAGTCGTTGGGCCCAAGTCAGTGAAACCCGAGGTGCCCCAAGCACGTTACTTCTGTGAACACACACAGGCCACAACATGCTGTGTCCTCTGAGCTCTGCGTGGCCACTCGTGTCGTTTCCCCCAGTGACCCCAAGGGAGGGCTGTTGGCTTCCAAGGGCTGAGTAAGAGAATTGGCGGGTTGCAGTCTGTCACCTTGCCAGACGAGGAACTGAGACACTGCTTCTAGTTGCTTTCCAGGCAGGTCACCTTCCAGAACTCCCGGGGACCTAGGACAGGAAGCACGGACAGCGCTTCACAGGTGGCTGCCACGAGCAAATTAGGAGGGAGACCCTGTGGCACAGTAGCAACACCAAGCCATCCCCGTTTCAGGGGAGCAGCTCCGGGCCGGTGGCCACACCCTCCAGTCTTATACTGTCCTGATGGGCACGTGATGGGCCAGGTGACAGAACAGCTGTCCTCCTCTGCAAAGACTGATGAGGAATGTGCAGCAGCAGCCCTAAGTACAGAGGGGAGCTCTCAGGGAAGTGGCGGTTTCTGTCCGCAGAGATTGCCTCTAGTTTCCCCACCCTCCCCCTCGACACCAAACAGCGACAACAACATGGTAAAGTGTCAACTTCTTTGAGCTCCACTCTTTAAAACTGCTACATCAGGTTGCAGCAGGGTCAGAAGGAAGGGCTTCAGAAAGTTCAGGAACCCCATTTTTTGTCAGGTGGTCCCCGAGTTAGTGTGCCCTTTCTTTTTTTTTGTGCTGAGGAAGATTCGCCCTGAGCTAACATCTGTTGCCAATCTTCCTCTTTTTTTGCTTTGACGAAGATTTGCCATTTGCCAACAACGATGCCAATCCTCCTCCATTTTGTATGTGGGGCGCCTACTAGTGGTGTAGGTCCGTGCCTGGGAACCGATCGCTGGCTGTGGAAGCAGAGTGCGCCGAATGCAAGCGCCAGGCCCTGGCCGGCTCCTAGAGTGCCTTTATGCTCAGTCCACACCTGCCATCCCATTCACCTGTGTGTTACCAGTTTGTCCCTGCTTTGCTCTCTGAAGTGGCACAGGACCCATCAAGACCCTTTTGTACATGACAGCCCTTCCAAGGGTGGAATTTTTCATAACTGTCAGGAATATTTTCTTTGCTGAGAAAAATGTTTTCTGTTCCCCGGTTTCTTCCTTATGTGAACGGTGTCTTAGACTGCTCACTGGCTTATTCTGTGAACATGTTTCTCAAAAGGTGCAAACTGCCCCCCACAGCTTTCACTACCGCCTGAGCGAGAGAATCCATTGGGATGTCACTTCCTGGGTAGGACCGTCTTCCCTCCTACAACGTGCTGTCACGTCAGCAGCTGCCGAGCAGCCTGTGTTAAGCTCATGGTCACTCAAATCCAAAGACGCCCATACCTACACTCCCTCCCCATCCTCTGCTGAGCAGTGGAGTTTACACTTTAAGAGCGCAGGGCGGATGTTTATCCCAGTTGGCTGCCATTCTTTTGGTTTGAACTGTTTTTTTTTCTGTTGCAGAGAAATCATTACAAGCTTTGAATTGATCCTTGATTATATGTATCTTCTGCCCTTCCCTCAACTACAGAAACTTTTGGGAAAAGGGCATCTCGAAATACTGAAAACATTAATGCAGCCCCAAAGCAGCCCTACAGTCTAGGTGTTGTTACACAGCTGTGGAGACAGAGGCAGAGGAATAACAAATGTCACTGATGGCTTCCTTCTTTCATTCTGCTAAAGAAAATTCTGTATCAGGTGGACGTAGAGTACCGTATACGGATGCAGATAGCAATGAGGCAGCCCCAGGCGGCGAGGGCTGGCACTGATGGACGAGCACCCTGCCTTTTCGCCTCTCAGTGAAACAACCCATGTCCTGACTCATCTTCCCTAATGGAACTGAGCCAGGTGCCCACAGCAATGACTCTTCATGACGCTGCCTGCCCTTCCCTGATATTCTCCACCCCCCTCCCAGGCTTCCTGGGGTTGCATCCCAAATAAACCAAATGCACCCACATCCTTGTCTCAGAGTCTGCTTCCGGGGAACCCAGTCTAAGATGTGCATCTTCTAAATTAAGGCCTAGATTCTTAAGTGGGTATAAGGGTAATGATACCATCGAATGCCAGGACACTCCAAAAAGATAGATTCTTGAAGTCTAATATCTACAATTATATTTTAGCCCAAAAGTAAAGAGGCCTGTACTTCTGAATCATTGCATTTGGTTTAATCCAGTGAAAGGTTTGATTGTGGAATTCATCACAGATGACGCAGTTCACTCCTCTCAGGTAGTACACAGGTACCTGGTCCGCATCCATCACGTGGTAGCCCACAGGTAAGAACCATGTGCAAACAGCCCCTGATCTATAAATGGTGCATCTCCAATGCCTGAAAGATTGTTGTTCTCTGATGTCACATATGCTGTCCTCTTAAATTGTTCCACAAGCTTTCTTACTAAAATAAATCCAATCCAGCTCTCTTCTAAAATATCAAAAATGGAATTGTGGTGTCTGACTTATGGATGCTTTTTCTGCTAGTGTTTGGACTAGAGCCAACACGGCAATATTAAATTTGAGTCAAGTTCAATAATTTCTGTTAGGATTGTACTTATCGTTCACTGCTGATGAAACCGAGCTCCACAGATGCTGTGGGATCCGCCCTGGGGTTGGGCTGGCCGGCATGATGTGGTGCCAACAGGCAGCCATGTTCTTCCTCTTACCGCGGGTAGGAGTTGAACTGGCTGCCTCCCGGTGTCAGCCCTGGCAGAGCTGCACTTGTCCGAGGCCCTCCAGGTCCACAGGCACATCATCAACAGGTCTCTCCTTCAACGTCCTCCTTCCTGACCTGCTCTGAGCGGGCATGAGGCACAGATTTCACATTCTGCAAGTCTGTAAACCTTGACACCAGGCCCCGCTCTTAAGCAGTTGTTTTCTTCGGATGGTCCTTGATGGGTGATGACTGCTTTGATGACCTTTTCATTACCTAGACCTCTTGAATTTTGAGTTAAACCTTAATCTGAACATATCCTGGCGGGTAACTCATGATTCCTTGGCCTTTAAGCTTTTGTCCGAACTGAAACCAGGACTCATCAGGGAAAATGAAGAAGAAAAATCATAGGAGAGGAAGAGTTGCCTGATATTTCCTTTTACTTACCCATTTTAACTAAGGAAAGATAAGGTTGAAATGCAGGAGGAAGTTTGGATTCAGGTCTTCTTCTATCAGGATCAATTGCTCATCTCTGAAAGACACATGTCTCAAGGCGGGACAGGCTCAGTGGGCATGCACTGGAAGCTGGGAGCAGCCCCCAGAATGGGGATTTGCTGGACACGTTGGTTTGCTCTTTCTTTAAGAGAGGGGCTCAATGAGCTTCTTTTTGTAACTAAATGTCATGAGCAATGCTTTAAAAATAATAAACATCACTATTATGAAGCTTTAAAAAAAATCAATAATTCCCAAAACAGCTTCCCCTTTTCTTGCCTTTGCTTCACAAGTTCACAGAGATTTGTGGCCCAGGATCTGCCTCCTCACGATTGCTAGCAGCACAGCTGACGTCCCTGCACACCTGGACTCTCCTATGGGGCAGTCCTTTGAGGAGGTGAAGAAACACCAACCTTTGTCCACTCAGCTCTGACTTCTCCGTGAGTGACCCCCACAAGTTGGCCATTGTCCTGCTGTATAATTCAAGAGTATTCAATTCTGCCCCAGAATAAGAGAAATAAGCAAAAAAGAAGGACAGATAAATCTAAGTGCAGAAGCAGGTGATCTGCAAATCGTGAAGACTGGGGTGAGCATGTGTGTGCTGCCGAACATGGATAGGAGGGGTTGGAAGGACCAAAGAGGCACCCAGCATTCATGAGATCTGAAAGCGGCTGCCCACTGGTGACAGCCATTCTGGCCCTGTGTGTCCCTCACCCAAACCACACAGAAAGAAGCCAGGGTCAGTCGCAGGTCACTGAGAGCTACAGCTGTGGTCAGGTGCGCTTGCCCCAGCATCTCTCGGATGGAGTCGCTGCATATCAGGTCCAGGGACTTCTCATTTTCTGAGCTCTCAGCTCTGCCCATCGTCTCCACTCCATCAGTGGGAAACGGGTGCTTCTGCAGACATTGCAAACCGGGGATTCAGGCAGTGGGACCCTTCTAGCCTGCTGGTATGCCATCTGAAGCACACGACTGACCCCACCTCTTTCCTTAGATTCTCTCTGTACTTTTAAAATTCATTCTGTTTCCTTTTTTTTCTTTTTTTGAGGAAGATTAGCCCTGAGCTAATATCTGCTGCCAATCCTTGTCTTTTTGCTGAGGAAGACTGTTGCTGAGCTAACATCTGTGCCCGTCTTTCTCTATTTTGGATGTGGGACGCTGGCCACAACATGGCTTGAAGAGCAGTGCACAGGTCTGCGCCGGGGATCCTAACTGGCGAACCCTGGACGGCCAAAGTGCATCAGTGAACTTAACCACTGCGCCACCGGGCCAGCTCCTAAAATCCATTCTGTGTCATGACCTCCAGGCTAGCTGCCTGGAAGTTACTTGGAGGCTACCATGTGTCACGGTATTTTCCCACACAACAGAGGTGACTGACATGGGACTCGCTGGGTTGTGGGGCCTGTTAGAAATCTCATCCCATGATTCATATAATAAGTAACAGGCTGGGGGTCTGAGCCAAATTCAAGTCAGAGATGAGAGGATCTGAGTTTCCATTCTCTGTTCCTTCTGGATCTCACTCCATATAAATGCTCCCGATATAATGTGAAGTGAGAAAAAGCAAACTCATAACTTGTGTAGACATGATGACCCTTATTTCATAAAACTATTTACATGATAGATAAGAAAACATATTTACATGTGTATTTATATATGTATTGAGCACCACACTCCATGTGTTAGGTTCGATGTTATACAAGTATTTGTTTTTCTTTATAAATAGTTAGAGAACATTCATTGCTCTAAATAGATATGTATCAACATATGTATAAATGTGGAAGGACTCCAGAAGAAAATGCACGAAAATGGCAACAATGGGTTGGGGACTATTAATGATGTTTTGTTTCTTATTAATCTTTCGTATATTTTCAGGAATTTCCAAAAGCTAATGAGAATTGCTTTATGATTTAGTAAAAGTCGGCATGTCATTTCCAATGTCCTCTGCAGCACAAATCTTTACAGAAATTCTAGAGAGGGTAAGGAGCCAAACTCAAACAACAGGAAGGTTTGACCCTTTAAAATCAAATGAACAGCCTCCAGCCATCCTTGGAAGGTCCCATGCTTACTCATTACAGCATCCTTCTCGAGAAGCATTATTCCCATCATTCCACTGATGAATTTCCCTGACCCGTGTCCATCACTTCTGGTTCCTGTACATGGAATTATAGATCCTTATGCCAAGATCTACAAAGATTTACTATGCATTTGGCCCAGGCATCTTTTTACATTTGAATAGTGCTGAAATTAGTAAAACACAGTCAAGACGATCACCGCCAGGCCATATAGACACAGTTAGCCCATCGCCCATCAGCTTACCTCTTCCAAGGCAACTCAATTCTTTGCAGACTGCTTCTCTAAAGAAGGTGGGTGGGTTGGTTTCAGGGACCCACTGATGGGGCAGGAGTGGCATCAGGACCCCCCCATGCCTCTCCATGAACTCCCACATAGTTCCAGTTGCTGCTAACTTATCACCCTTAAACTCAGTGGCTTGGAACAGCAACAATCATTTTATTCTTTCTCACTGTTTCAGTGTGTCTGGAACTTTGGAAGGGCTGGGTGGATGGTTCTGGCTTAGGATCTCCTCTGATTATGGTCAGTCAGTGACTGAAGCTGGAAGAGATTGGGGGACACTGGGGATTCGAGCAGCTGAGGGCTAGCTGGACATCCCTCTCTCTCTGTTCGTGTAGTTTCAGGGCTGCTTCATGTGGTCTCTCCACATGGGGTGATTCAAGCCCCCTTCCAGCATGCTGGCCTCAGGACAGTCAGACTGCTTCCCTGGTGTCTCAGGGCTCCACACAGGAGTATTCCAGAAGCAAGGTGGAAGCGGAGTCTCCTTTCAATGACCTCGCCTCAGAAGTGACATAACATCACCTCTGCCACACCCTAATGGCCAAAATAATCACAAAAGCCCTCCCAAATTCTAGGGACGTGGGACACAGACTTCACCTCTTGATGAGTTGAGTGTCAAAGTCACGTTGGAGAAAAAGCACGAGCAATAGGAGAGATATTCTTGTGGCTGTGTTTGAAAAACACACTCTGCCACATAAGTCCTGTGCCCCCTGTTGGTAACACCAACCGCTTGCCTACTCTTACTCATTCTTTGAGTCCCAGCTGCTTAGATATTCCGTCTTGGGAATATCTTGGACTTCCTCTCCAGGCTTAAGGGTGTCTTCTTTTCAGCCTTCCCTGCAATGGCAGCGTGGGACCCCTAACCAGTTGTCCTACTTCCTTCCCTCCGCAAGGGTCTGTCAGGGTCGGCCCAGCGCTCCTGCTTCCTACTCGAGTATTCTTCCAAGGCTGCCATGCTCAAGTCTTTAAACTCATTGCAGCCGTGAAAGCAGAGAATGCCTCTTGCCTTGGTCTGGAAGAGAAATGATGCAGAGATAGAATTATGCAAGGTGAAGAAGAAAAGAAGAGAATAAAAATAGATTAGCTTGGGGACCCTGACAATCCTCTAGCCTATCTCGCTATGCTACGGATAGCACTAAATTGTTCATAGCTGTGATTTCTGGGAACAAGAACTGTTGATGCTTTGTAATTTATAATCTAAAAACTCCCTGAATTTTCAGTAATAAACAAGTGTTCTCATTTATTTAAAAATCACAAACTTTAAAAAGTAAAATATTCTACTGCCCACTCCCAGAATGGAACAAATCAAATAAGGCTGTGTCTACCATGTGCTGTTTTTCAGGACTCACTTCTGCCTGGATGAGCTATACTCGTCTAGATACCAGACTGGATCTTTCACCTCCTCCCCACTCTCCTGCAGGTGCTCCAGGCACCACTGAGAGCAGGTGTTCCCTGAAAGCA